GTCCAATGTTTGTGTTCCATGAATACGCCACCATGAACCGAAGAACTTAGAATCTCAAAATATGTTTCGGATACCATAAATTACATTTAACAAGTCACAAATGTCAGCCAAATAACAAATTATTGAATTTTGTGAATGTTGTCACTGAATTATTAAAAAACGAAATATATTTCATGTCATTTCCGTTACCTCCATACCTGTTCAGAAAATAACATAATATAAATTTGAAATTCAATACATGGAATAATGAATTCATGGTAATGTTTACCAGTTATTAACTTAGATTGAAGTCATTCAAATTACGTAATCTAGAAAGCATTAATCGGGTAGAAACTAAAATAAAATTATTAGAATTGTAAGTTTTAGATAACAAATTCCTCGTAGTTTGTTTGAAACCAAAGTAAGATTAAATAAGCAAGTTGAGTGACGCTATCTAATTGACGGGGTGAGTAGAGATCATGTTAAATTAAAACTGAACAAAAGTCAAGTTGACAAATGTGTTAATAAGGGGTAGAGATTTAATCAGCGGTGGGGGAAAATATTATACAATTAAGAAACAAATAAGCAGGAGAAAAACGAAACAGAATTACCTATTAGGTGTTAAGGTAGGTCAGGTCCACCACAGATTTAATGAGTGGAAAAACTTTTGTATGCAGAGTCATTCCCTCAAAGTGAAGATGTATTTTGTGTAACAAATTAGAGTTTATCCGCATAACCGTTACTTCTAACCTTTTGATTTTCCGATTGTAACTTTGACTTTGACAAAACAAACAAATTTTATTCGGACCTACAATTAAAAACAAAACTAACTGCACAGCTCTAATAAATGATAATCGAGAGTGATTGTCAATGAATTTTTGAATGATATTTAAGACAACTTTTAGGAACTCTGATCACGATTTGACGGAATAGTTCCGCGGAAATTTGGCCCCGAGTAAAAGTCATTTATACATAAAATACTTCTGTATAACTCTGAGAAAAATTGAAATACAGAATGCCAACGTTTCTTTCTTCAGTCTGTTTCTAAATTCTTCAGGGTGCAATTCACCGAAAGAAACGCTGGAATTGTTTATTTCACTTTCGCTGAGGTTTATACAAATTAGTTTTCACACATGACAATCAAAACAATTCTCAAGGTTTAAGTTTAGAATATAGCTTATATATATATATAAGTCATCGGTATCGGTATACATAAATAAATTCATTTAATTTGTTATCAAAGTTCAAGTTAGTTGAAGTCAAAAATTGAAAATGAGGTCTTTAGGGAAGAAAGCATTAAATTAATGACTCACAGTCAAAATTATCAATGCTGAAGATACGCCATTCTAGCAAATAAATTAATGACCTTTCTCCCAAAGTGACTCTGTGAATGTCACTTAATTAATGTGTTTATTAAAAATGAAAGTGCTTTCTGCTCAGGGATGCAAAATGAACCCCTGCTACCTTTATATAAAAATATCGATTTCTCCTACTCCATATGATTGAGTCACCAGCAATATTGTCATATATCAGCTTACATTGTATTGCGTGTGGCGATCTTATTATATTTTCAAAATGAAATTGTTATAAATATTCTACAAAAATTCTCTTGGAATAAGCGAGAATTGTTCTGAATTATCAATAAGTTGGAGGTTTTGACAAAAATGATATTTTCAAAAGCTGGTTTATAAGAACAGCTGTCCAGTACTCCCTGATTTTCAATGCTTCTCTAACTGATATCAATCCGTGATCAAACTTGTTAAAACAAAAATAATATGCTTATAAGTCTGATAACAATGCAATAACTATATGATTAAAAAGATCTACGATTTGTGAGATACACAGGTTGAGGTTAAATTTTATTTCCGTTTTGTTTGGAAACAGAAATTACTCAGCTCACAATATGTGATCTGTTTGATACACTGGATACACCACAGATGACTGTGATTAGGCTGTCTCAGTTGCGTCAAACGGAGGGAACCACCAATGAGCTCGGTCCCAAACGAGATAACACAGCCGTCCGGTGCTTAGATCATTGGGATGATCTGGTTAGCGGGCACTACTGGCCGATTTGAACGGTATCCAATTACTTATATCCGTCATTCAGCGGTATTTAGCGTCATTATTCGACTGACCCCAACAATTAAACTCATGCGTAGGTAATGAAATTCAGACATACTGAAGGACTTGTAAGTGTTCAGTTTAAGCGGTTATATGATCAAGACAATTTAGCATGCAAGCTAGAATTTACAGAGGTATAGACTGTTCAATTGTATGCATGTGCCAGCATTTACATACAGTGAGTGAACGAACGCCAAATTTGTTATGTAAAAAAGAACAAAAAATTAGCTGTGGGTGTAGTGATACATATTGGAAGCAGTACACTGAAATAAAAGAAAGAAAATAGTAGAAGACCAGTTTTAAAGAAGCGTAGACAAACAAAATACATTCTGATATTTTCAGTGACTTGATACAAGCAATACGTTTTTTATGTCACTAATTATTATCACAATATTTCGAACGGTTTTCTTATCAGGGGAATAATAAACTTTCAAAAACATACATTCATAAGTGTTTGTCGTCCCACAATTCCGTAAAAGTACACGAGTTGTCATGCCTACGTAGCATAACCCTTAGTGTTTATATGAACTAGTGTTAAACGGGAAGCGAAAAAGTTTGTTTTCAAAACCTTCGGTTTAGAATGAACAGTCTGAAAAATAACTGAGTTACTATTGTATTCATAAAATTATAGAAAATTTTATTTTCTCATCCGGTAAACTGACTGTAAGGCCTCCTTTAACTCAATATATTATGTGATCTTTACATTAACTGTTCATTCTTATTTCAACGTCTCATATAAATAATAAGTATACAATAGACTAAATAAATGACTTAATTAATGTGATATCTGTTGTGTTTTTCCACTTAACTAATGAATGACTTCATCGCGAATTAATATCAGTTGGGAAATCAGAGGAGACTGGGGAGTACTGGACATCTGTTTCGTCCTGATTGGGGACTCTCAAAAACTACGCACCCATGACCCCACAAAGGATCTGACCTGGAACCTTCAGGTTACGATGCCAAGCTCGTTGACTATTTCGTCACTTTGGCTGGAATTCAACCCGTGAATTCTAAGTTTGCTTATTCGGCTACCGCCAACCAGTGAGCATCCATTTCATTCTGACATGGTAGACCCCACCAGCCATGACTTTTTACCATGAATTTGCAGTGGCTACCATTGAGCTAGAGAATTTTACTTAGTTAGTGAGTTTTGTGCGGATTTGGATGTTTTAGATTATTTCTTGAACCAAATAATGTTGGTTACATTGAAATTAATCCTAATCCCCACAAAACCTATAATCTAAATATCAATCTCCAGCTCATTGGTGGCTACTGCATGGATGTTGTGATAATATCATTAGAAGTGCAATAATAACTGCATATAGCCAGAATGAAATCATGGATTTCTAGTGGTAAATTCTAGAATAAAACACACTGAGCATTTTAACAAGGAAATATCTTCGTTAAACGGAGACCGGTTTGAAGACTGGTGTTCAGATATGTTCAGAACGAGTAATATTGTTTTCATATACATTCAAAGAATACAAAAAATATCTCCACGGCATCATTAACTGATTCAGGGTGTAAAGGTTTAACACAGATCAAACACAAACCCATTAATATGGTGTTGAATACGCTGAAGTGATTAAAAAAATATCCTTGGCTGCAAATATCACTTATAACTGGTGAAACATGTTACGGTATATGACATTAAATAGTGTACATGTAAAGACTTTACGCAAAATACTCATATTAGTAGATGCTAATAAATTTGGAGAATGTGTATAACGAACATGCAAAATACCTCCATCTAGGTATGCAGAGCAAGTTAAGATTTGTAGTATGTTACCAGTGAAATATCCTCATCATATCTGATTTAGAAAAAGTTATTCGGTATAGTTCTTCCATCTAACATATGATCAAATCTAGCAAGAACAAAGTGACGACACAGACCATTTTAAATGCCTACCGATTAAATGTATAAGTATGGTTGACTATAAAAATTTTATTTTGTCTATGTTTAATGTAGTAGTGGTAGTAATAGTAGTAGGATAAAGATGCGTGCTTTCCTTCAATTTAAGTTAGAATGGTCTGCAAATGTAAAAGTGAATATTCTGGATAAATATACATCATATATACCATACTTTATTCAAATTTTTCAACACCATTTTGTGTCGGAGGTACAGTGGCAGAACGCTCCCCAACCACCCACGTTGTTCGTGTTCAACTCTGGGTTGGTATACTGCTAAACCTCTCTAAGCCGGTAGTAGCTCCCCTAAAGAGACAATATTAGGCGTAAGGCTGACAACCTCATCACGTAAAAGGAATACTACTACAGCTACCGATACTTCGAAGCTCAAGCTTGAAGCAGCCCGATATGTTACTTGGAACATAAACGGAATTCAAAAAATAAAGCACTGCGTAATTAAAACTTTCAGTCATGGTTTCGAAAATCTTGTATTCATTTTGAAAAGGTTTTATGAAAAAACTACACTACTCTAGAATAAAGTTGAGTAGTCTTCTATGGCTTTGACGTGTGTGATAAGAATGCAAACCACAACCTACTGTAAATTCATTAAGTTCGCCGACTGCTGTTCTGAAAACTCGACACACTTGTTAAAAATGCATTTGCCAAAGTATGAAAATACATCATGTTTGCGTAACCATCCAAGCTGTTGTTTAAATATTCACAATTTCTTAAACATTTATCAGTTTAAACTGTCAAAAATGCTTCTAACATTTCAATAAAATTTCATCCATCTAGTAAGATTATAACAGACTAATGATGTCGAGAAACATTTAAAGAGAATACCTCTGAAACATCTTTACCTCTTCACAATGTCCACTGTGTAATGTGCATAATACTTAAATTTGTTATTTAATCCACTTAATGCATACATATCTATTCGAAGGGATATTTTGATGAATTTTTTTTCTTAATTTCTTATCTTATATAGATTACTTATCTCAACATTGTCATTATGTCCCAGGCATTGCGACAAGAAGGCTATATTTTGAGTTGACTGGAGCTGTTATCTATTCACATCCACGCTATGCTCAGTTATATGATGGTTTTTCACAAACAGCTGATCAAGCAACACTGAAGCAAGGATTATTTAAACAAAGCAAAAGTGATAAAAATCAGGTTAAAACATCAGCAAAATCATTAAATAAATACTCAAAAGCAGATGATGGCAATTCATTAACAGAGAAAGGCTTTCAAAACTACATGCATTCAACGACTACCATGACGACACTTAAGGAAACTAAACCGACCACGGTAAATGATGTTGAGGGAAATACAATGGAAAACACGTATCCAGTGAATTTCAGCTGCGAAGTATACATACACTCTCGAGTCAATTCACGGATTATGATCAGATTCCAGTCATTTTACATTCCATCACAACAACAATTATTATGCGATGAGAATTATTTGTATTTATTTGATTCGAATACACCACAATATCGTGCTATGGTGAGTTATGTATAATAAGTTTAAAATTATTGGGATCTTTTAAAGCCTAGTTCCCCAAAACATCAGGTTATTGGTTACTAATTTCATTCAATAAAGAGTTTCCTTTTTTTTCTTTTCCCACTCAAGTGGATATCATTAACTTTTATACCGAAAAATTAGTGGATTAAGGGGATGCTTATATTACGTATTTTATAGTAAAACGTCAAAAGTGTTTAGTTAACTGTCTTTTTCAAATTAAAAATTTTCATCCTCCAGCAAAAACTAGAACGAAACACATAGAAAAGCGTTTCTCTACGGATTCTAAGTGATCAGTGTGTTGATAAGTACTCATGCCTAGTTTCAGGCTAAATGTTGTTTATTTATTGCCTATCTATTTTCTATTTACAATATTTGATTAATAATTTTTATTACATTCGATAATAAATTAATGTCAGTAAACAATATATGCAACAATAAAGTTTGAAGAATTTTTATAACACAAGTCTAAAATTTTGACGAATACATAACCGATTAGTTGTATTTATGTGATATCTAACAGCCATTCATCACAAAATAAATAAACTAGATTTTAGAATATAGTTAACAGTTGTGTTCCGATTTTCAGATGTTTAATTCACTCATATTTAGAGTGATTTCAAATATTTCTCAAAAGTAATCATCTATTCGATGTATTTACCAGTGACAACGATTAACAGTTGAAAGTCTTCTTCCATACCAGGCTTCCGATTGTTTGAAATTCAGTTTACGGTAGACAATATATCCATATATATGAAGGCTATTTTATTTACCTTCTGAAGATTAACAATGAATGAGCCAACACTTAAACTGGCTTGTAAATTAATAACCAGTATGCATTCTACATAACGTCGAACTTTTATTACCATTTCGGTCTGTTAGTCATAAAATATGTTTCAGCTGAGTGTGGTTGGCGCTTAAAACTGGAATATTTCACAGGGTTAGCCATGTAAACTGCAATCGTGTCCTCAGAGCTTTCGAGGAAGATGCGACTAACCAGCTTAAGCATTCTACTCCACCCAGTTGATTCCAGGTTCGAGTCCCTCCCCAGTGACTCAGTGGCTGAATGGTCAACGGGCCTGTCTCTTAACCCAAAGCTCTTTGGTTCGACCCTCAGTTGAGTGATGGGTGGGTGCGTGCTGTCGAAGAGTTTCAACCTAGAGCAAAACAGCTATCCCTGGTCTTCTAACTGAAGTCAACTCGTGGACTCACTTGAACCCAACCAAGTCCCTGAAAACGAACACTTGAAAAGTGGCAGTTAGTTTGCCTTAATTACTTCTACCACTTTGAGTGTTATTTCCACATTATTCGACAGTGTATGTACATGATAGTTCAAGTGATACAAATGAACAAACAGATGTAGAAAAGTAACTAGAGTTAAAACTTCTACTTCTTGTCTTGACAGACTAAAAATATCTTTTGTTTAGTTTTCCTCTAGAAGTAACCTCTGTTTTTCTGCGTTTGAAGTAAATTCTATTTAGTTCCATTCATAATGTACATTGAATGTTTCATCATAATTGTACCAAAATACCTAGAAGTATTTGAAACAGAGAGAGAAAAACTCATTTATTAACGAAGTGATAAGAACGCACACCTGATAAATAGTTGCGATTTCATCCTTCTCACTCTTCACTTCACTAATTAGGAAATCGGAGTTCCTGATTTTCATTATTCATTAATAATACTCTCACGAATTAATTAGAAGGAATACTTCTTGAATTGAAGGCGAAACGTTTACATGTCTGTCTAGAGGTGATGTGATTTTTGACTTTATAGGTATTCCGAATCAAGTTTATTCTCTTACTCAAGGTATTCCACTCCAACTCCTGCAGACGTGAATCGACAACAACCTGGGATGTCTATCAAAGGTGGTCATTGTCACCATTTTCATTCTTATGTACCTATGAACAAGACTTTAGTCATCTTAGATATCTCTGAAATTTGTCTGCCACTAGCGAAAAGTATCATTCATTTAGATAGTGAGAGAATATTAGCTCTCTGTATGAAAATATATTCGAAACCCTGACTTTTATGAGCACAAGTACTTGTCCAAAGGTATGTACATTGTGACACATGCTGAGCCTTAGCCTTCATCAAGAAAAAATACAATCTAAAATATGACCGGGTTGAAAAAATAGTTGCGCGTTCAGATCAGCACACTGCATCATTCAAAAAAGTTTTCAACTGGTAATTTGAATAGTTTTTGACATGTAAACTGATTATCTGTGCCTCTGAAATACTAAGGGATAATGGTTTTATACTGTTTGTTATACGGCTGAAAACAGTGGTTCAGGTGTGCTCACTCCTAATCATCATCTGTATTCTGAAAATATTATCCTGTGCAGGTTTAATTATTCCCTCTCCCATATATATATATATATATATATATATATATTTCCATGCATCGTAGTTCCATTAAATTTCTCTCCTCCACTTTTGTTTACTTGGACAAAGTCAAATGATACAGATATGCGCAAAGTTCGAAGCAAGTAAGACAAAACTGAGTATCTCAGGGTGAAGAAATACCTTCATTATCACCAAACCACGATTTATAAGATGGCATATCAAACAAAAAATAATGAATGAATTCTATGAGAAAAATATCAGTAAAAAGTTTGAGCATTGTGGATTAGATCAATTAAAGTATAATTATATTTCAGTAGTTTACACACAATGATAAGTTTTGTTATTCGTAATATTTAGAGCAAAATTACTGCCCGTGTACACACCACTGTTGGAATTGTTTGACTATAATTATACTTTAATCTATGAGAAAAGTTACTTGTAATACCTCTGTAAAAAGAATCAAAAGTCTGAAAAAACTCTAATGGAAGGTAGAGTAATATATTTTTTTGTTCAAATTGAAACGCTATTACATATAATTAACTACACTTTCCGAGGGAAAGGCTTTCTTAATTAGCTGACTGTTTGCTGATGGATAAAGTCAGCGGGGTCGTATTCAGGAGGCCCTCAAGGTGATTCAAAGTTGTTCAGTGCAGTCCTGTAGTCACTTAAGTCTAAACCAGGGGCATCCAGCCCACTTACTCTTAAATCACACCTATTTGAATAGTCGGTAATGAAGCTGGAGAAAAGGGAATGTTGGGCATGAGACCACTTTGTAAAAACAACACAGATGCTAATGCAACATCAAAACGTGAAGCCCTGTGTTCCACCAGGAAATCAAAGAAATGAAATAATGAAAAAAACATGATTGGAGTCAGTTTGTGTTTTGTTCGACAACTAAACAATAATAAACTATATTTTGTTTGAAAATTTATGAGAAATTGTGACAGACCACTACTGAGGAGTTATGCAGTTGATTAAAACGCCTGTCGAAATAACTTTGGGTTACAATGACGCTTTAGTTGATTTCAAACTAGTTGATTCCACTAGACCAACTTACTACAAACAAAAAGCTGGTGTTTATCACATCATTCTGTAAATGAATGATAAATGAGGTAGAAACCATTTTATTTTATTTTTATTTTCTTTATTTTTAAATATTAATCCACTAAGGAAACATTCAGTACCTGTAACCATATGTTTTCATACGATTATATCTTACAAAAAAGCCGACATTCCTTACTTCGACCATATTCATTCGTGCTAATTTTTCCCTTTGTTCTACTGTCATGTTCAAATGTGATTTTTTTCTAATATGTAGTATGAAAAACGCCTTATGTTTTCAACCGCTTTCTTACATCCAAAACTGAATTCCTCAATGTTAGTTCAGACAACAGAGTTAAAAGTTATAATCACGATATTAGTTAGTAGATATGCACACTCAGCCAGTACACTTTCTTATTTTTGTTTTCAAAGCCATCACTATGTATGCATTTTATGGTGGTTTATTTTCATTTGATAAACTTAGGCGATATCGGTACAAAAACACCATTTCTTTACTTTCCTTATAATATTTTTCTAGATAATAAATCTGGTTTGCCAAAACAGTACACAGCCAAACATATTTAAAACTGGGAGATTTAATAATTTCTAATGGGAAACTCTTAGACGCATTAATGACTTGAATTCTCCATTGTTTAGTTTAATAGATATGACCAAGTGAGACTAGAGATAAGCTGACTGAAAAGTGCATATAGAATCAACTACCGGGTTATTTATCCCATGAATCAAGCGTCATTTCATAGATTCAAACAAACACTAGCTATTTTTAGTAACAATTTTTCATACAGTCAAAAAACATAATGTAGACTTCACTGTGCTGATTAATTTTAACACTCAGTTCCTAATTCAGAAAAAATTACTGCCTTAACGTGAACCCCCTTGACCCAGTTAACTAAAACTGCCATTGATAGGCAATTTATTTCTTGCAAGCAGGTAACTAAAGTCATCTTGTCGGATGCTAAACATCCCAATTATTTGCAGCTTTCTTCTTGTCTCTCTTCGGGTAAAACCAGAGGAAATTTCATAAGAATTTAGGCTCGAACCGCGAAAATTAAAATTAAACTCGCGTGAAGAGACTGGATAGTATCGTCAGCCCACTTAAAATGAGCATGTGGCTCATAGCTTGAAATGTGATAAAATCTTTCTCGAACAGTTGGGTTCGGACCAAATAATAACAAAGGTTTCGAAAATGAATATACATTTAGTTTTCTCTGAAATAGCAGCTTATTCACTAGATATATATAGAAGAATATCTTTAAGAAATAAAAATGTCACCTGTGCTTTGAGGCTACTGCAGCTACTGAATTGACTTTCTTTGGTAAGGCCACTAGCCCTACTCCTAACCTTCCCTCTTTGCCTGGGTTTAGGACCGATTGTCAAATTAGGCGAGGTTCTTAAGTAAACTTACTGAAGACAGTTCTTGAGGCGGAAATAAAACAGTTGGAAGCTGTATCTTTTGATACTGCTTCATTTATAATATATTTGGAAAAAATAACACTGTATTAAAATGATTTCATATGCATTTTGCTGAAGAGAGAAAATCCAAATAAATCGTGAAAAACGACTGAACTTGTCCTGAACATCCATCTAGGCAATACTGATACGTCCTATTAGCTGTATTCTTAATATCTGATTCATTCACTATCTTTCATACTGGTTTTGTTTACAATATCATGCTATCTCCAATTAAACTACAATGACATTCAGTGCCATGATGACGTGTCTAACTGTTTACGAAAACATTTAGCAGTCAGAAGAAATGTTGTAAATTTTCTTTGATGTGACCCTCTGTTAAATTAACAAGTCAAGCTAGACAGTTTACTCCACAGTTTGTTTCACTGATTTGATAGGCAACAAATTTTTTTTAAAGTTTCTATCACGATTTATCATTTATATTTTTTGTGAATTTTTATGCCTCAACAAGCAAACGGATAAATTTAAGTCATTTGTTTGAATAAATGAAGACATGCAGCATTTACTAAAGTAGATTGTTTTACTTGACAAAAAACCGATGGGATTTGCTAGCAGATTGAATTTTTATCTGAGTAGGTGTTTTTTTCTTGGATGCATACACACTGAACGAAGATAGTTTGTTTTGAAGGAAAAAAGATGGCATCACGTCAAAAAACCGAAAAGGATGGAAAATTAACTGACTTACTTGAGAAATATGTAATTACGAGAAATTAGCAAAACGAATCTTTCATTTTTTTAGCGTGCAGATTTTAATTTTCTTATTGGAAAAAAACCTATCTCAGATATCTTAAAGATTTTGAAAAAAGTTTTTTTTAGAAATTAGCTAATATTCTAAGTGTAGGTCCATTTCGAGTTTATTTTGTGACACAGATGAAGTTTCTTCCCTTCTGAGAATCCTAGATCTGTTACTCAAAGCTATCAGCCGTGGTACATTTGTTTTCAACCAAGTACTTGTCTTAGGAAGGAGGTTTTCCCCCTTTGAAATATTTCACTTATACGTAAGCAATAAAATATGACGTAAATTTATTTACATTCACCTTTTATTCAAATCAATCATCTGTTAAAATCATATAAGCTAATCTTGATTTGACTATTTCTTAGGATTGCATTGGTTTTGCTTTAGAACATCTGCACTGGCTGAGTTTAAGAGCAAAGTTGAAGTTACTTCGTGTCTGATGGGTATTAAAAATTAATAAGACAGCATTGTGTTCATGCTCAGACCTATAGCAGAATTTATTTGCTGAAAAGCAGTGAGTGAATCTCATGTAATGAATTATCTTGGTCTGTTCAGAAGTGACTATGGACTATCTTGACACTTAATACTTTTGTTGATATCAGTGTTTCCTTCTCTTTAACTGAGATAAGATTACATGCAGAAATAAGATACTGACTATGGGAAAAATGTTTCTTTCGTACTCACTAGGTCTAATGATAATTCCTCATAAAGCAAACTATATATACATATGTATTCACAAGTATCTTTCAAAGTCTTTATTGGTTTAGTTATAAAAACAATACGGATCAGAGACTTGGCACGTCACGAAAGGCACTTCAAACAAACTACAGACTTTCATCAACAGCTGTCTTCACTCTATACTGAAGTTCAGATGGTCAGAAAAGATCAGCAGCAGGGATGTCTGGGGGCAAACCAACCCAGCAGGAACCAATTATGCAACAAATATGCAGGAAGAAATGGAAGTGGATTGGCCACAGTCCGAGAAAACCATCAAGTGAAATCACACGCCAGGGCATCGCTCGAGTGGAACCCGAACTGGAAGTGGTGAGCTGGTCGTCAGTGCTATGGTGACATGGAGGCGATGCGAAGAGTAGATAAAAGCATGTGTGCGGACGTGGAGCCAGGTGAAAACGTTAGTAGAAAAGCGAACGCAATGAAGACGTGCGGCTGAAGCCTTATGTTCCTCTAGGAACTAAAGGAAACAATAATAATATAAAAACTAACTTTTCTGAGTAAATTAACAGTTTTAATCAAATAAACCAGAAATTATTCGTTTAAAATGCATAAAAACCTCTGAATTGCTTGCAAATAATAGCACATAATTTTTACCTAACTCTCTTTTCAGGCAGAAGCTGGTGGTGAAAGAGGTCTTTGTCAAGGTCAGTATCCAACACAACCGATTTTCACAACAAAATCATTTGTAACAATTGTATTCAGGTGAGTTTAATTCATTTTTAAACTAAACGTAATAAAACTAGCAATAATACTCACCGGAATTCTGTCTGAATCTTCCAAGAAGCATCTCTTGAATATCCTTAATATCCCCATGTTTGTCAACTTCTTGACAAACGTGTGCCTGACTTCAAAAAGCTAAGCCACTATCATGTGTGATATAAGGAAGTTATTATCTCATGTAATATTTGCTATGGTGCCATTGACTTAGGAATGTAAAATGTCATTTATCTGGTTTCTGTTAGCATTTGTTAGATACAAAGTAACTTATTTGCTTTCTCGAATTATATTTCAGTACTGTGTTGAATGTAACTATAGGCTTCGTCTAGCACTTATTTACTTCCCCAGTCGAACTTATAAAGACTGACTTAAAGGCTTCTCTAGCACAAGTTTATCACTTTTAAACTTGGTATTTCAAAGTGCAACCTGATTAAAAATCAGTTAGAGAACCATTAAAAACCAGCTGGGAGTACTAAGCAGCTGTTTCATCCTAGTTTGAGAATCATCGGAAGTACGCACCCACCCTGCAGGCGATTCGAACCCAGGACCTTCCGGTCACAAGTCAAGCTCGTATACGATTCAGCCTCTCGGACCCGATTCAATGGCCAGACCATGAATTCTTACTTCTACCAGTTCGTGCTTTACTGTGACTACTGACCAATGTCATCGGTGGGAAATCCATCCTCACAGTTGACTGGATGGACTTCACTAGTCCCGACTTCTCACTGGAACTCCAGGCTTGACTTGTGACGGGAAAGTCCTGGGTTCGAACCGTGGTGGTGGTTGCGTACTTCCGATGATTCCCAAACTAGGATGAAACAGCTGCTTAGTACTTCCTGGTTTCCAATGGTTCTTTAACTGGTATAAAACGGTGATTAAACTCGTAAAGACAAATCCAGTCCTTACAAACCAACTCTTGATTAGAAATCAACAAAAATACATATTTGCTCATACTTGTTTCGTTTTCAGTAACAAAGGTAATGCAAGCTATTCTGATTTGTCTAAAATGTTTTTGCTTTCTATGAAAATGTGCATGTACAGTCTGCGGATGCCAATTTTACTGACTACAAAAAAAAGATAAATCTTCAAAACGGTATCATTATTATTATTATTCGCTTCATTTACAGTTGATTAGAAAATACAAGAGAAAGAAGTTAAAAATTTATTCAGCTCAATAATATTTTCCTTCCTTATTACATAATAAAAATAAATAAACTAGTTAGTTTGTGTAATCATGCTTCCATAGTGAGACCATGACAAGAATACATTTCATTTTGATTGACAGGTGTACCTATTTTGTCTCTTTTTTTTTAATGGATAGACAATTGTCTAAAATGTCATTACTGTCAATCATTTTTAATGAATGAAATCATTATCAATTCTCTTTTGATTTAAAGTAATAATATTAATCATGTAGGCAGTCGCTTGGCAATGCATTAGTTGACCAGTTGTAACTTAAGTGGATAAATTAAATATGCGAAAAACATTGAAGAAAATGTTCCATTGTGAAAAATACTCATTTTTCTGCATGGATACATTTTCTACATTTTCTGATAAGTCTAACAAATTCGCCATATCTACTAAGTAGTACTGCTTAAACTTAAACAGTAGGTTCGGACAGGTTTTTTTATAGAGGGGAACAGAAGCTAACATATGATAAATTGTTACAAAACATATGTTGACTGTTCAGCGTTAGTGGATAGGAAATATTAAATTTAACTCTTGTTTGTTATTTACTTCAAACCTTCAAAACGTACATCTGGCACAATTTTCAGCCTGGCCTAGTTTGCTAACCAGTCCTAAGCTCGCACCGTTATACCACCTAACACGGGAGATGAACGCAGACACCTTGAGGTCAAGAAATACAGCAGTTGCTGGACGCCGGTAAGTATGCCTATTTTCCAGAATTTATCGAAGGGTGAGGATATGACCAATACACCCTCATCCTGGTCTAAAGCCTGTCTAGCTTTCTCGTGCCTATTCCTCCCGAGCATCACTTAGTCTACGCATTATTATTGAGCCTAGAACTTCAGACAGTATATAAGTTAAGCTGACCCCCTGTGATTATAACACGAAGACTTATTTCCCTTCTTGTATACCGGGATAATCAATGACTTACACCAAACCGACGGGACTTCCTCTGATTCCCAGACGTTGTCTAATGCCTTAACTAATCTATACAGTAAACTGTCTCCACCGTCCTTCAACGCCACAGTTACAAATGTAGGACATGTGTTTATATCCCATTTAGGCAGGTGTTGGATGTTCAGTAAGTTGACGGTGGCTGCTAGCCATTTAAATTGCTACTCAAAGTGTTCTCGCCAAAGTGCCATTTGTCTATCCTGAAGCTAATTAGGGCTCCTTTTTCTCGGGGATTTTCTCACTTATTATTTACCTTTTACACATTGTCCCGTATAAGCCTTAGTAGATCTCTGGTGTTAACTAACGCGGATGCCTTTTCCATCTCTTTCGCTTTTGTCGCCCACCGTTGTTCATGATCGCTGCGAAGACTTCTTTTTAAATTGCGTTTGGACAGCTTTGGCTCCTCATCATATTCGTAACTCACCAGAATCAGTCTTCTTGCCTAAATCAGTTCGAATGAGGCGGTAGAAATCCAGTCGCTCTTACTAACTTTTGGTTTTATCTTATCAACAGCCATTACAGACGTATCTACAGTTCATTGTATGTTGTGCCAGGCTACCTCAGAAGGAGTCTTACTGTAGACCTCAGATACTGGTTTCACTGTTTTTTCTCTAAATAAGGGCTCAGTGTCTTCATCTAGCTGGGGGTGCAACCGCTTCGCTATCAACAGATTTTATGTCTGTTTAATCTCAAGCATAGACGTTTGCGAACCAGGGCGTGATCGGAATCTACGCACGTGTTCCAGAAGGGTCGACAGTCTTCTGCTGACCCTCGCCAACGATAACCTATAGCCATGTGGTCTATTTGAGTTCGACATTCCCTTGATGATGGAGGTTTCCAGGTTAGGCAATGTCTCTCTTTGTGTTTAAAGCTATTGCTGACTTGAAACACATGATTGTCTGAACAGAACTGTAGAAGACCATCACCGTTATCGGTTTGTCGGCAGGCAACTCCACACATATCACCTACATACTTCTCAGTCTGGCACAACTTCCCTACTCGGGCATTGAAGTCGCCTGCGGAAACAACTTTGTCTAAGCGTCATGCTTTTTGCACCAAATTAGATAGTCTCAGGTAGAAGTCATCCTCTAGTTCATCCTAACTGCAGTCTGTCGGGGCGTAAGCGGAGACTACGAAAACACAACGATGGGTAACGCCGTCCTTCCTTCTAACGGACCCGTTCAGACGGGCCGCAAACATACGACTATCTATTGGGATCCAGTCAAGAAGTGATTTCTCTACCCTAAGAATCAATGCTATCCCTATACTTGCAAGTCCTCGAGAACTAACTGAGGGCTCTCCTGACACCCTTAAAGTGAATTTTACAGATTCACCTTGCTGGCTGGGTGAGGTTAAGTGAATAATCACACTTGGGTCTTGTATGCGTGTCTCCGAAACACAACATACATCCATGGCTCGAGATGCCAGAGTTCTTGCTAGTGATGCCTGTTGTCCGATTCGGCATAGGATCCAGACGTTAAATGCTCCTATATGAATTTGGCAACGTGGCTCTAAGAGGCTGTCAGGGGTGTTTCTATGGCTGTCATCGTTGTTTATGGTCACAGAGTGAAGTGAAGATGACTGGCTAGTCTGAAGAATAGTACCAACTGTAGTACGGAGGAAAGATGATGAGATTGACGTGGATAAAGAAGAATGATAGTCAGTAGGGCTTCGTGTGCCTTTGGAAGTATGTGGGCGGCTGCCGGTCGTCCACACCATGGAAGTTGATTTTTTTCATAGGGAACCTGTAATAAAAACAGAATTAATATTGCTCGACCACAGAGCCCAGGGGACACCTGCTTCAGGCCGGCCGGTCGCACACGGCCTGTTTGAACTGACTTTTAGGTTTGGTTCTGTATTAGTAACTTACCACCGGTTATTGACCATCGTAGGGTAAGTCGGCATGTACAATCGTTGGCGTCAACCTCCTCTAACCCCCTCTCTTTAAAGCGAAGAGACAGTATAAGTGGAATGCTGGTCATTTGAGCGAAACATCTTACTACTGTTACACCTCCGTTCTCAAGCAGGACGATTTTGCCTATAGACCCACAGCATAGTGTAGAAAAATCTTACACTAAGCCGGTAAGTGCTTTTAGTCCAATCGCTGTCCTTATAATCTTGTTGGCATGGTAGGACCTACAGGAACAATAGTTCCAGCCACTGAAGCTAGAAGAGTCATTGCGATATTCAATTTACACCACCATGTCAAGGTAGCAGCTGTCGGCTGAGGTTTCCTAATCACTAAGTAATGTCACTTTAACTCAGCGATAAAATTTCGGCTCTTTAAATGAACTGGTATCTTTTTGAAGGTACAGATGCATTTGCTGACTATTTCTACGTAGGGCTTGACTATTTTCAATCAACTGTCGGAGTCTAAAATTAAAATCAGATGCACGTAAGTTCGTTTATTTAATGCAACACATACGAATGCATTGTCATTTAACAGGTTATGGCGTCAATGACTTCTCAAAATCATATTATTTTGGTTAACTGTGGTAAAGTCTTGTCTGTATGGTAATGAGGCTTTAGCGTAATTATGAGTAATAATTTGCACTGGAAACGTTATCCAATAAATAATTCTATATCACCATGCGCTAAGTCAAATAAAAAGAATTAACATAAATTCATATCTGATCTCAGTGCCAAAGCTTAGCTGTCATTATTAACAAAATCAGTTACATCAGACTATAAACTTGGCCCATATCTTTATTATTCATTAGCAATTATAGAGACAAGCGACACAGTGATCCTATTTTAAAACCCGGTTGAGTCACAAATAATACAGTTATGCCACAAATAGTAATAATTCTTTAAGATTCGGAAAAATATTGGTGAATTGCAGC